TGTGTGTGTGTGTGTGTGTGTGTGTGTGTGTGTGTGTGTGTTTGTAGGGGGTGTGTTGAGGACCTAAGAGAAGAACGTTTGGAGCCAATTGGTGAGTGGGAACAGGGAAGTCTCCTGCCTTTCAGGGAGGGGGTAGGTGATCTTCGAACTGGACTTAATCCAAGTGTGTCTGGCTGACACACAGCTTGGAGTTGTGCAGATGCCCCCGGTGGGCGCGCTTCTGTCTCTCTTCCCTCGGGTTCCAATTCAGAGCCTGCCTTGCCCTCTTTTTCCTATCTCAGTACCAGGCTGAAGTGTGTGTGTGTGTGTGTGTGTGTGTGGTGTGTGTGTGTATGTGTGTGTGTATATATGTGTGTGTGTATGTGTGTGTGTCCCCGGGCGTGAACACTTGTCCACGCCCGCACGCTCCTGTGCCCGCCCATATATCATCCCCCACGAAGCAGGCAGGGCCTTTCAACGGCCGCAAGGGACGTCCCTAACCCGGCCAAGGCCTGGCCCTAGCTCAGTGGCCAGAGCGGGTGGGGGCAAGCAGCAGCCTTTCTCACCCCTTGGTCTCTTTGCTTTGCAGTGGCCCCCCAGAGGTCCCGGAAAAAGCGCTGTCCCTACACCAAGTACCAGATTCGCGAACTGGAACGCGAGTTTTTCTTTAATGTATACATAAACAAAGAGAAAAGACTCCAACTCTCTCGGATGCTCAACCTCACTGACCGGCAAGTCAAAATCTGGTTCCAGAACCGTAGGATGAAAGAAAAGAAACTGAACAGAGACCGTCTGCAGTATTTCACTGGAAACCCCTTATTTTGAGAGCTCCAAGAAGCGCCCCCTCCCCAGAGCCCCACTCACCCACCCTCCTCCCCACCAGCCTGCCCTCCGCAGGCCCAATGTCCTTGGGTTCAATGACGCCTCTTCTCTGTGGAACTTCACGATTCCTTCTCGCGGTCAACTCGGGACCTCCCAGCGACCACTGCAGCCTGAGGACGAGGCCGGGGACTTGGCCGAGCGGATCCTAATAAGGGGAAAATGGTAAATGCAATCGTCCCTTTACAGTTTTACCGCCAATGTGTTCTTGTCCCTCCTCTCCTGGTGGATGCGGCGGGATCTGTAGGGAGTTAGGCCACGGGGCTGGAAGGAGTGGTGTTTGTGTTGAGTTTAAGAAATCCCTTTCTTCCCCCTCAGTGAACACAGATTATTTAAACTCTGGGAAATGTACCTTTGGGCATGAGTCACTGTCTTTTTGTGTGTGAATAAATGGTTTCTAGCAAAATGGAGGTTACAGCTTCAATACACTGCATGGATTTTTTTACTGTTTGACAAAGTCTAGTAGCTTACCAGGTTATCTTAGTGACCAGAACCCTGTTCCCCATGCAACGGAATAACCGCTGGAGCACTTTTTAATCTCTCTGTGATAGGAGTTGGTCCTTCACACCCCTGTAGACTACACTGGCTTTAAAAACCACCATAGTGTTACACTTCTGAATTGGCTATGAGATCCAGCAATGCTGGTTGCCTTTTTTTTCCAGGCAACAAGGTTTAAGCAGTAGGAGCCTGAGGAGCAAATTCTCAGCCCACCCCCTCCTCTAGTCTAATGAACTTGGAATTTTTGGAAAGACAAAAAAAATCCAAAATGTTAAATTAATTTGAAGATCCAAATTATCTCTTAAGAAGGTCAAAGAGCCAGAGTTCCTTAAAGAAGAAAAACCCTCTGTGTGAGGCGGGAAGTTTTGTCAAAAGGGAGTTAAGAGGTGCAGGGAGCATGCGGTCCTTCTGCTGTCACAGGGAGCATGAAGCAGAGAATGTAAGACACCCCCCCCCAGCTAAGTCCAGGGGCTGCTCAACTGCTTCTTGCCACATTTATCGCTTTAAGTTAAAGAATGTGGTGAGGGTTGCACTGCACTTTCTGTCACAGGACCAAGCCAGGCTGTTTACAAAACCTTGAACTGTCTAGACAACACCATAAAAGCCCAAGTTCTAAACAGCTTAATTGGGTTATATTATACACCTTCTGGTGGGCCCAAAAGAGATTTCCGCACTGTGCAATAAACCGGAGAAGTGAGAAAAGCCTCTCCTTCTCTGAAAAGAGTGAAGTGGGTCTTATGGCTCTCAACCTCCCAGAAACCCAAAGTCAAAATATAAAACCCTAAGGTGCACAGCACCCCACGCCTCACCTGAGGAAGTGTGCTTTTCGAATTATAAATTTTTTAATTGCTGAAGCTTTGGGGGGAGGTAAAGAAAAACATAAGTGCATAAGTGTATGCCTTTGAACTTCCAAAATGTCAAGGTCACCACCTTTAACCTCTCTGAATAATTAGGCGCCTTAAAGCTCTTCTGTGATTTCCAACCACCACCCACTCTCATAATACATGCTCACATATCCAGGCCCTTGCACATATTTATGGCCGTACAGAATCATACTGGGGGTTCACCATAAATCTAAGAAAATTCCTAATTTCAGGATCAATAACCTTAATTTCCCCCCAAACACTAGAATAATTCAATAACAATTGACTTCTTAGGAAAAAAATAAAAACACTTGTTAGATCAAAATGCCTATGAACTATTAGTAGAGTTAGGATGTACTGAGAAATTGGGACGCTCTTAGAGTTTCTCTTTGCTGTCATGAAGAACTGCAGTTTTTTAAAAGGCGGTTAAGAGAGTAAGTTCTCATCAGACTTATGCCAAACCTTAGCATTTGAAAGCCATTTGCCACCCTGTTAAATAAACTCTGACACTTTCTAAGATTTAGAATAAAATAAAATCTATTTGTACTACTTTTTAACACATTTCTCAATTTTTGATAAAGGATGCAATAGAAAAAAAGCAGATAATCAAATTATTTCTCTCAGAAAAGGATTATTTTGTTTACAATCTGAGCAGTGGTTTTACATGTAAATGCCCTAATAGTAAGATATTCCTGGGAGATTAAAACTGGTTGATTTTTTTTCTTCATCTTTCTTCTTTTAACTGCGGCTAAATGAGCAAGCTGTGTGCCAGCCAGCATACACCAGGAGAACGCGAGAAATACTATTTTCCGTTTGCAAGAACCTCTACAGCCACACGAGGGCGCGCTCACGTTCCCAGAAACCTTATTTGCCAAGAGCCTGCGGTACCTTATTTTCCAATACTAGGCTCTAATAAGGGATCTTGGCCCACCCGTTAGAAACAGCCAGCAGTTAAGGTGTTTCTGTCTCCTTGCTCTAAGCAGCCATGATTGCGAGAAGTGGTAGAGAGACAGAGAAAAAGAGGCCATCAGTGTTCTGAAATAGGGGATCCCCTAATCCGTTGTCTTCTCAAAGATAAAGCCGCTGCAAAAAAAAAAAAAAAAATCCTTGGTATATAACCTTATGGTGTTGAGAAGATATTTTTAAAAGACAAATATCTGTGGTTTGAAATTCGTCATAGCCACTGCGAGTTAATTAAATCGGGGAATGTCTATTTTCATGTTGGTTTAAGTGTGGCGAGCGGTGACAAACGTAAGGTCCCACCCATCTCCCCCAAACCGCACGCGTCTTCTGAGCTTTCAAACGGCTGGGATGATTAAAAGGCTTTTGTTTAAAACAGATTAGGGCGTTGGCAACTTAGCTGAGTGTGTGCTTAGAAAAAAAAAATTGAATCTCCATGAGGACCGCGGGCGTCGTTCTGGGCTGAAGATTCCGGTCCTTGCTTGGCTTGGTGCTACCCCTGACTACCCAAGGGACAGAGAAGGCTAGAAGCTGGGGTGCGGGTGCCAGACAGGACTGATGCGGTTTCTGGAGATAGTAGACTCTTTGCGAGGACGTTTGGATGTCAAAGTGTTGTGAATGGGGACGCATTTGAAGTAACCTGGCATTGTACTTGACGGAATCCGGGCCACCTTTCCTGGTTGCCCGCCGACCTTGAGGTGCGCAGTTTTGCTTTGGGCACAATCTCTCACAAACGGTTAAAATCGCTCCTGAGATTCACTGTCCCTGCAAAGCCCTGGGCACTGGGAAATGTCTGCGTCTCCTCTGCTTGCATCCTTTTCCGGGGTTCAAAAGTATGAAGATGGGGCTCCCGGGCATGGGCGGCTCAAAGGGAGGATGGCGGATCCCTTTCACCCCCTAAGTTCCTTGAGAAGAGCCTGTAGGCCCCGGAATTTGCACTGACCTCTGTCTCCCTCCCTCCATTCGCCAGATCTCAGGCTTTAGGGTCCTTCTGTCCGCTAATTCTCCAGGCCTCCAGGAGCTGGTTTTGCGTGAGGGAGGCTGGGGCGCCGTGACTCCCGGCTAGGCGCCAGCAAGAGGCGTGGATGTTCCCCGCGCGGATACCCGGCTCCTCCTGTCCTGCTGCCGGTCCGGGTTAGCTCTTGTAAAGCGCCCTTTCTTAGGGCCTAACCCGGGTTTTAGTCTATGTGGGGTGAAACCTCCCTCCCCAAATGTCGTTGTGTCCCTTTGTAGGCGCCCCCATCCACCGCGCATCTGTCTGTGCGGGGCCCCTTGGCCTTGGCTGGCGGCGGCCGCCGGCGGACCACCGGTGCTGAGCGGTCTGCAGTGTCATTTCTCCCGGCAGCGCCAGCCCAACATGGGCCTAATACAGGCCAGGGGATGGGACCAGGAACTTCGGGGGCTGAAAACCTCCTCTTCTTGAGCCGGCTAGGGTGCGTGGGACTCCTTGACGGCGGCCACCGATCCGGAGGCGCCGAGTTCTCAGATTCTGAAGAAGAGAGAAAATGCGCCAAGTAGGAGTCTTTTGTGTCTGTAAATAGAAAGAGGCTCAGCCCTTCTCGATCCCTTTCGGTCATCTCTGTAGATCCCTTTACTGAGTCGATGGTAGTCTCCCGGTTGCCCCTTCGATTTCTTTTCCCCTTGGTGCGATAGTACACAGTGCAACCCAGAGGGGCGTCCTGGGGAGGCAGCTTTTAATTTGTTCCTAACCATCCTATCTCTAGAGAGTGACAGAATCCAGAGGCGACTCATAGGTCTAATTTAGGGAGACTCTAGGAGCCCTTAGGTCCCCTTAGGCCCAGAGCCTCCACCCCACGTTCCCGAAGAAGACAAGAAAGTGCAAATGCAAACCGCTTTATTATGATGATTATTAATTATTGCAAATGCTAATTTCTTGCTAAAGCGACCTTTCAAATTTTCTCTGGAAAGAACTGTGCCAGGGCAACAGGCATCTTGTTACAAATATGGGTACACATCTCCTTTACGATGCAATATTGACTTATTATTAATGCTAACTGCTCTAGATGATCTAAAGATGATTTTTTTTAAATACCAGCAACTACATTAAACACTGAGCAAAATAAAAGTCGCCCTTAAAGCTACTGTCTTTTCCTTCCGTTTGCTTTGTGTCAGTTCTAAGGTCTTAAGGCACAGCTTCTGTCCTCAGAGTATTTTCATTTTGCTCAAGTATTTAAATTCTATAAATCTAACATATTGACAAATTTCCCTCTGAGGACTCAGTCTGAAGGCAGAAATTCAAAAGAGAAAAAAATAGAATTTTGAGAGTATAAATTGCATTTTTAAAATTAACATACACAATTTTTCCCCCTGTCTTTGAGTGGAGATCTATTTAAACCCTAATCCAATACGAGGTGACTTTGAGCTTGAAGCATTAGGGACACTGAAACAGAAAGACCCCCACACAGAGCAGGCAGAGCTGCCTCTGCAACTTCACTGAAGACTTACCAGTTCAGGAAGGAATTGCTTGTTTTTAGACTGGGTGTTTTCTTCGTGTATAAATAAAGATTATGAAAGGGCATTTGATGGGCATAAAATTCCTGATTAGATCGAACAGCCCTTCCTTGCTTGGGATTAGAAAAATCGGGCTGTGGAATTCTGGGCAGCTCTCCTGGCCGAGATACAAGGCAACACAATGCTAAAGCGCCAAGCTGGCGTCAGGGCGACTGCCGAGAAGAGGGAGTGCAGCGGGCACTGTGTCCGGCCCTGGGCACGGTTAGCTGTAGCTCAGGATTTGATCGCCACAATGTAAAAAGGGAATTTCTGAGGTGCTAATCAGTGGCTGTTAGGTTTGAACAGGATCTGAGCAACCTGGAAGCAAACGTCTCAATTTTTTTCCTCTCCTATGCCTTACTTAACACCTCACACCCCTCCCCAGCTTAAACCTAGCCACCCCGGTGGAAAGGTAATGTTTAAGTCTCCGGCTTCACCACCGGGGTGCAGCAGCCAGAGCAGTTGAAGGCGCCAGGCTTTTAACCTGACAATGATGTTGTATT